ACTTCCAAGAGGATGAGAAATAAGCACTCAGGATGGGAGCATGGCTTGCAAAGGGGGCCTCACCCAGGCCTGGGTGCACGAGATGGCCCCATATTGCCCCCTCCAGAAACCAAAGACCAAGACACCTCCAAAGGAAGAGATATTAAGGCTCCACTTTCCTTTGTCATCAAATAAGTGTCGTTTCATTTTCATGCTCTTTATTTTATGGGAGGAGCTAGCATGAGGTTGAGGCCAGGGTAGTTTAAGCCCCAGTGGGTGTTGTAGGTCCCACTGGTGCAGACACTGCCTCTGGCTGTGGCCATCCTTCCAGAGGGGGGCTGCTCTGTTGTTCCTAAGCCGCCTTCTTCTTCTTCTTCTTTTTTTTAAGGTCCTTGCTTCTTCTCATCAATACAGAATTCCATTCCCTACTTCTCTATCCCTCATTATCACCACTGATAGATCTGTAAAATTTTGAGAGCCTGTCACATAATGATAACTTTAAACAACCAATAGTAAATGTTTCTTATGATAATGTTACATTTTAAGACTCCCATGTTCCTCCCTTTTGACTGGAGCGAATTTCTTAATTAACAGAGATGACCTCTTTTAAGAGTATCTTCTTATTCAGCCTTGCCCAAATATATTCTTAAATATTTGTGGCTTCATATCCAGTTTTTCACTGTATTTGTGGCTTTACCATTGTCTTATTTCTTATGCTTCTTGAATGTTGGCCATCTGGCTGCTTGTTAACGATTTCAAATGAAACAAGGGAGAGAAACACAAGCAACTTAATGTTCTATCATAGTTCCCATAAATGATTTGGGATGGTTTCAAGTATTGCTCATAAAAATTAAGTAACAATTTTATATTATTATTATTCCTGGTATCCCCAATGTGTATTTCTTTACTCAGTCAAGAGAGGAACCACAGAATCTAAACCTGTGTTCATCTTACTATTATTAGTCTCCCTTTCCTTTTTACCTTTTCTAAAATAATGAATGTTTATGCAGTCCTCAAAGTACAAAAGAAAAGAAAATACCCTGCACAGCTATGCACACCCTAAGTCCTTGAAGCTAGGCATGTGTAGAGCTAGTATATATGAATTAGAAAGAGGGATAAATGTTCACCCTGATGATAATCACAGAAAGCTGAGATCGATGCCTCCACTGTGGATCAGTAGAAGGTTCCTGGGTTTTTAGTTCTGAAATCTTTCTGCTCTTTAATAGTTGCATTTGAAGAGCCATATCCTTTTCACTTTATATTCAGGGCTGTGCACATTGCTGGCATATTTTGATTGGTTTTGATTTTCTGGTTATAATAATCGCAGAATCTCAGTCCACCCCAGTTAGTGGTGTGTGTGTGTGTGTGTGTGTGTGTGTGTGTGTGTACACGTGTGTACAAAGCTGCTCTTAAGAACTGGATTCTTTAGATGATTGGGAGCTTCTTACCCACAGAAAGCACACTCACATCACAACACATGCATCTCCTTTATTCAAAAACAGTGGCATTCAATAAAGACAAATTAATATTGTTTAAGAGAATAAAAAGCAAGGTAACAAAAAACCATTGCCTTAATTTAGAGTTGAAAGAAGGAATAAGCTTCAGGGAAATGGATTTGGTCCGATAGAAAGGAATTTCCTAAAAGGCTCACTTTGGACCGTTGTGAAAGGAAAAGTCTCCTGAAGATGTCTGTAAACCTCCCTGAGTCTTGCTTTCATCCTAACTTAAAGGGTGATTAAATTTTGTCCAGGATTCAAACTTTCTATCCCCAGAGACACTAGGTTTACTTTCTAGTCAGTAATTTGCCTGAGTGGTAAATTCAGGGTATCCCACCTCACAAAGATCCCGTTAGGATGTACGGCAGGGCTGGCGAGGAGCAGGGACCGTTGAGGGAGAAGTCTGGCTGCCCCTGCAGTCACTCGAGTGACACAAGGCGAGTCAGTCCTTGTCAGAGGCGGGGGCTTGGTTCTGCGGGGCTCAGAGTCCCAGCACCCACCCCCTGCCTTCCCCCCAGGACGTGGTGCTCTGTCCAGCCTGGTGCCCTTTGGAGGCGCCAAGGACACAATGGGGTGCAAGCTGATCCCCCTCTCTCACCCACACCCATGACTCATTTGATGTTCCCGTCACCGTGGCTTCAGCACGGCCCCCGGGACTGGCCTCAGGTCAGATTCTTGGCTTCATTTACAGGTACATCACCACTTAAAAATAATGCCCTCTGGGGGCCCGGCCAAGAAAATGGAGGCAGAATAAAGTTAACCTGAGGTGTCAAGAGGACAGCTTTTCTGTCTGTTTAGGAATCTGTTGACCAGCAAGAATTTTCCTAATTCTTCCTGTGATCTGTCAGAGAATAGCGATCATGTTTGCAATGCTGAACAGAGCCCTGAAATACCCTGCTCATTCTCCATTACATCTTTTTTTTTTTTTTCAAATTACTACCTATTTATTTTGAGCCTGTGTCCACTTTTCTTCATGTCATCTGGGAAAGTTATTCTTCATTTTCCCTTCTAATAGTGAACTGGACTATCACGATGCTGTGAATGTTAATGATCGCTGCCAGAAAATCTGTGACCAGTGGGACCGGCTGGGAACGCTTACTCAGAAGAGGAGAGAGGCCCTGGAGGTGAGTCTCCAGGCCACCTGTTGGCATGACACCTTCTAATAGAGGTTCCTTTACTAATTCACTGTTATTCATTTTGTTTTTCTGTGGCATGATGTGTATAAACCAAAACAGATTGTGCACTTCCCTGGTGCTCCAGTGGCTAAGATGCTATGCTCCCAATGCAGGGGTCCCAGGTTCGATCCCTGGTCAGGGAACTAGATCCCACATGTCGCAACTAAAGATCCTGTGTACCACAACTAAGACAGAGCACAGCCAAATAAAATAAATATATTTTTTTAAAAAAAAGCATGTGTAGTGAACAGAGCTTCTACAGAGAACATGAAAAGCAGGAGAACAAGGAAAATGGAAAGTTGGTAGTTTTGTTGCCATTTATCTGTATGGCAATGACACGCCCTTTTGAATTAAAAATACAAAAATCTAGTAGTAATGAGATAATGGTTTAAACTCATTTTTGTGAAATAATAATGGCAGTGAATTTCCCAGCGTCCTTAGCTAAGAGTAAATTGAGCTGAGACTGAGTCAGGAAATGAGGAGGAATGGAAGTTGAGACGGTCAAAGGGAAGACGGCAACACATGCTGAGCTAAGTAAAAATGGATGTGAAACAGAACCAGGATGAATCTGGCCTTATTCACGTATAAGACTTGGAGAAACAGAAGTGAGTGGCTGGTTTTTAGCTGAACCTAATCATCTCTCAAGATTTCCCCCGTGGTTCAGTGGTAAAGAATCTGCCTGCACTGCAGGAGATACAGGAGACACGAGTTTGATCCCTGGGTCGGGAAGTCCCTCTGGAGGAGGCATGGCAGCCCATTCCAGTATTCCTGCCGGGAGAATCCCGTGGACAGAGCAGCCTGGTGGGCCGTGGTTCATGGCGCTGCAAAGAGTCAGACACAGCTGACGCGACTGAGCACGCACATGTGCAGTCCTCTCACCGTGGGAGACTCAGACGACATGAGGAAAGGAGCAGTTAGCCATTTTCTGAGTCTTTTCACCCTGACTCTGATGAAACTTTTAACATGTGTAATATCAGGTTTCCTAGATGTGAACCAGCTATTAATATATTCACTTAAAGAAAAACGTTGAGAGAAAGGAAGAACTGGGCATGTGACAGAGAAAGCTCAAATTTTTTCAACAGGAGGAAAAATGACTCCGACTATGGAAGAGTTTCAGATTCCAGATGCCTCCCTCCCTGCCTGCTTGCCAGCCTCTCTGCCATAGGAAACGAGCATAGTGTCGTTTTCTGTGACTTGAAGCCTTGTGCTTTCCTATGCCCAGAAAGGCAGAGAGGCTCTCCAAGTTGAATCCTGAATGAGGACTTAAGAACGTGAAGCTGTAGTCCTCCTGTCCTCTCTAGGCGGGTGACTGTTGGGAAAGGCACAGTGTTGATCATAAAATGAGGACGATACTGTGAATTTTCCGTGAACCAGCATGGTTAGAGAACCAAGTCCTCTAACTTCTAAAGTATGCTTTAGCTGAAAGCACCTTACTGCATAGTCTATGTGGATTCTCAGTCTTCAAAAGGTAGGATGTGGGGGTCTAGTGGTTAAGAATCCACCTGCCAATGCAGGGGACATGGGTTTGATCCCAGGTCCCTGGGAAGTTTCCACATGCCATGGCGCAACTAAGCCTGTGCCACAGCTGTTAATCTGAGCCTGCGCACTGGAGCCCGTGCTCTGCAATAAGAGAAGCCACAACAATGAGATGCCTGAGAACCACCGCAAAGAGGAGCCCCCACTCGTCACAAATGGAGAAAGCAAACTTGCAGCAACAAAGACCCAGCACAGCCAAAAATAGATAAATAAATAAAACTCAAAAAAATGCAAAAGTAACATGTAGTAGAGTATTTTAAATACTTTCAGAACATTGTGACTCTGGATATAATTAAATCCACCTCTGATTCAGAGGCACTTCAGAGACCTGCAGGGCTCAGCCTAATCATTTGGACATCAGTTAATCTTTATGTATATGTATGCTAATGATGAGAGGGTTGTGATGGAGGAAATGTCAGATAATAGTTTATTGCTCTGGAGTGCATCTTTACATGTTCCGAGAACTTTATAATTCAGTCTATGATAACACTGGCTTCTATTTAATCTTCAGAGAACTGAGAAATTGCTGGAAACCATCGATCAGCTTCACCTGGAGTTTGCCAAGAGAGCAGCTCCTTTCAACAACTGGATGGAAGGCGCTATGGAGGATCTACAAGACATGTTCATTGTCCACAGCATTGAAGAGATCCAGGTAACTGAACACAACTCTGTATTCCCACTACTAGAAATGAATTGTAATTTCAAATCTCTCTTTTGTTTTGTCTCATTTTTTAATTAAGAAAAATGTGGCTGGGGATATCCCTGGCAGTCTAGTGGTTAAGACTCTGAGCTTCCACTTCAGGAAGCAGGGGTTTGCTCCCTAGTCAGGAAACTAAGATTCTGCATGCTGTGCAGCGAGGCCGAAAACACACATGCATATATAGGGCTAGAAAGCCCAATGTACCCTTTGACCTTTAGCTTGAAAATGTGTATACTACTCTGCTACAACTAAATTAACATCAGCCAGATAAAGGAAAATATGTCTAAAAGGGTATGTTCTTTAAAATAGAATGTGAAATCATATGAGCAGAATAGACATATATGCTCTTGGACTTAGTCACAGCAAATTATGAGTTTATTGGCTGCTAAATTACCTACTTTGCAATGTTTGCATTTACTGTTCATTAAAATCTATAGAATTTCACCAGACCATAAAGCATAAAAAAAAAACACAAATCAGCACCTTCCACCTCCCTCAATCCAAAATGTTCTGCTTTTAATCTCTTCTGGAGCATCGGAGTTACAAATAAGACTTAAAAGTGATTTAAGTTCCTCTCAAATAGCCAGGACCCAATTTATTTAGAGACCATTTGATGTATAATGTAATATAAAGAGAAAATACTGTTAGACTTTTTTCTGATAGATAATAGATAGATCATCAAAACTAATCTAGATGTAAAAGAAATAGTGACGGTTGGGATTTGAACCCAACCAAGGAACAGGAATTCCTGCCAAGGAGCATTCTGGAAGGGTTTGCACCTGGTTGTAAGGGGAATGAAATTACTTCCTTGAACAAGGCCTTTGTCTTCTGAAAGAAGCTGTGACAGTGTTTCTTGCATGCACTCTTAAGCAGAGGTTGGCAATCTGAAATCGTTTCTGGAATAAGTGAGACATCAAAATGTGCCTTGGAAGCCATACTTGATGCGTGGAGTAGTCTCTTCATTTAGTGAAAGGTGTGCTGGCAGGTTGCAGCATCTGTACTGAGTATTAGCATCACCCTGGAAGGTAGTCCCCATGGCATCTACACACAACTGAACATAAGGAGCTGCTGTCTTACATGCTAGGGTCCAAGGATAGGGTTGTTAAGTGGAGGCTTTATAAAGCCTGAGGAGAATGAGTTGGTTTCTGTGGCCTTTTCTTTTGCAGAAAAGGGATGTACTTCCTGGTGGTCTGTAGGTATAAAGGCAGCAAATGGTAGGTTCCTTTTGAGGGGCTAAGGGTAAATAAACCCTGGTCATTAGAAAGAGCAGCTAATCTAAGTTCTGCATGTTGCTGGTGAGTAAGACCTAAACAATAGCTGAGCATCATGATTAAATGAATTATGATTTTCAAAAGAAGAAAACAATTATTTTTTAAAGTTTTTGGATTAATAGACACCAGTGAGTCATCAGGAGGTCTTTTTCTCCCCCCATTTCGATGAACTTGACTTGTGTGTACCAGATAGCTTTTCTGAGACATTCAGAATTTGTCATCCACTGAAGAGTCCTGCAGTTGTAAAGTTATTTATGTGCGTGCCAAAGGGAAGAGCAAACCTGTAAAATTCACTCTGAGCTAAGTCAGGTTTTCTCCGCTTGTCTCTGGCTTAGAGCTTGATCACTGCCCATGAGCAGTTCAAGGCCACGCTGCCCGAGGCCGACGGCGAGCGGCAGTCCATCCTGGCCATCCAGAACGAGGTGGAGAAGGTGATCCAGAGCTATAGCATCAGGATCAGCTCAAGCAACCCCTACAGCACCGTCACCGTGGACGAGATCCGGTCCAAGTGGGACAAGGTGGGTGACTGAGGGTCCAGGGGTGGGCAAGGAGGGTGTGGGTGAGGCGGGTGTTCTCAAGCTGAGGTGGAGAGAAGAGGTGAACCCCTGGGGAAGTTAGAGTGACTCCCTGGTCATCAGAGTTGTGTCCTTCACCCCAACACAGCTGTGTTAAAAGAGAAACTGAGGCATAGTAGCAATTTTAAGTTTTTTTTGAGCAGAAGTCAGTTCGACTGGGCTGCATCCAATCTAGCAGACAGAAGGGAGCTCCATGTACAAAATGAAAGACTTTTATAGGCAGAAAAGAGTAGGAACAAGGAAGTTACAGGGCCAAAAAAAGAAGATTGGTTATTGCAAAGTTACTTCCCTTTAGGGGTCTACCTGGCAGATGGTCTCACTAGTATTGATCAGGTGATTCCTGGTTGACTGGTTTTTAAGATTCCATTTCTGGGAAAGCAGAAACTGTATTTAAGTCTGGGTCTGGTGGAGTGGGATTTAGCATAAGCGACTCTATTTTGGGCCTGTTGTCTTGTTTTTCACAGATGAAATATATTACACTCTTCAATACCTAAATGCATTTAGCAGTTTCTATGATCTGTAAGACAGTAGAAATGATTGCCCTTAAGGAAAATCTTATCAGTGTTAGCAAACTCAGTACAGGTTATGATGCTAAAACTATTTTTAAAACCCCAGCTGAAAATTTGGTGGAATCCATTTTCTGCTGGTACTTCATCAAAGATTTTTAAGAATATGGGATAGACATGTCCCAAGTGTGTGTGAATTTAAAATGTGGGAAAATTACTTAGGATACTACATACGGGGAACAAAAGAACTCCTTGCTAATTTACTGCCACTTATACTCTGGGAAACTGTACAGATTTAGTTATAGTCCAGTGGGATCATTTGAGCCCTTTTATCTCATTCTTAAGAAAGATTTATTTTCATGGTCTAAATTGTAGCATGGTTATCTTGGTAGGCTGCTAAGTCTTCAGTGAAGAAGTCCACCAAGTGGATTTGAGGTGGCTTGCTATAAAAACACATGTAACAACTGTTTAGTTAATAAACCATGCAAAAGAGGGGGGAAAGAAAGTGTTAAAACTGAGAGACAGTTAGTTCTTGTTTCTGACCTTAAAATTAGCTCTGGTCTTCTGACAGTCAGAGTAAAAAGGAAACTGTGTTGAGCTGAGTAGTTTCCTTGCGGGGGCGGGGGGGGGCGGGGGCGTGGGCGAAGGGATATGTGTCATTTCTTTTCTTAAAATTTATTTATTTTTTAATTGAAGGATAATTGCATTACAGAATTTTGTTATTTTCTGACAAATATCAACAGGAATCAGTCACAGGTATACATATGTCCCCTCCCTCCTGATCCTCCCTTCCTTAAAGTGAGACAAACTTTTCTCCCATCACTAAGTTATAAAGCAAAATTTGCCAGAGGGAGTTTTGTGAAAGGGACATTGAATAGTAATGTCTTTTTGCCAATACACACAGAAAAAGGCTTCTGAAGTAGCTCTTTTGTCTGTGGATTCAAAGAGAACTCAGGCATAGCATAAAATGTAAATCACAGGGTACAAATGGAATGGAAAATAATGTAGACCAGGTAGGATCCCTTCCGGTGGGCCAGCATTATACAGGGTTGAGCTCATGAACCTGGCAGGGCTTCCCGACTTTTTTGTGTCTTAGATCCCTTTGGTAGTCCAGGGAAGCCTGTGGATCCCTTCTAATAAAAATATGTATAAATTCATAAAAAATATTAAAGGTTACAAAGCAAATAAATTACATTGAAAAATAGTTATTAAAATATATATGTGTATAACTAAATCACTTTGCTGTACAACTGAAATTAGCACAACATTATAAATCAACTAAACTTCAATAAAAAATAAATGTTAAAACAGACAAAAAATAGATATATGTATTTTTAAAGTTGGAATATACTACCACATTTTAAACCAAGATCTAATAGCAGGTCTAGTAAATGGGAGTGGTGATGAGTGTCCATCCTATTTTGAGAGGTAAGCACTAACTAGTGTATATAAGAATGTGGTTTCTGTTGTGATAAAGTCACAGTGGGTTGGTGTCCATATTCATAATTGAAGGAAATGCTCATTTTCTGCTGGAGCTGGGGAAAATAAGGATGTCAGTTTGGTTCATTCAAGTTCACAAATCCTCTGCACTCTGGACCCAGCCCTGCAACCCTCCCTTCCCCCAACCTGGGTTAGTGCTGCAGGCCGGGAACCCCAAGCTGGACAAATGGTCAGCGTCCCTGGTGCAGACGTAGCCTTTCGGTAGGCACTGGTGGTGCTGGGTGGCAATCAAGGCTAGACTGAGCTCCCCTTTAGTCCCTAAAGTAGGGAGCACACGCCCCCTCCTCCCTCGCCTCCTCCCCTCCTCTCCCACTCTGCTCCCGCCCCTGCCCTCCACCCACCACCACCTATCTTGGTCACTCTTCCTGGACCACCGCTGGCCTCTAACCCCTGTTGTCCTTGAATCCTGGCAGGTGAAGCAGCTTGTGCCCATCCGGGACCAGTCACTGCAGGAGGAGCTGGCCCGCCAGCACGCCAACGAGCGTCTGCGGCGCCAGTTTGCCGCACAGGCCAACGCCATCGGGCCCTGGATCCAGAACAAGATGGAGGTGGGTTGGTGCTTCAGAGAGAGCATATCACGGCCTCCAAATTGGTCCCCAAGCTGCCACAGCCACTGCTCTCCACTCAGAGCCGTGAGAACACTGCCCAAGTCACCTGGGTCTTCCCCTGGGTGGGCCCTGAGAACACTGCCCAAGCCACCTGGGTCTTCCCCTGGGTGGGCCCTGAGAACACTGCCCAGGCCACCTGGGTCTTCCCCTGGGTGGGCCCTGAGAACACTGCCCAGGCCACCTGGGTCTTCCCCTGGGTGGGCCCTGAGAACACTGCCCAGGCCACCTGGGTCTTCCCCTGGGTGGGCCCTGAGAACACTGCCCAGGCCACCTGGGTCTTCCCCTGGGTGGGCCCTGGGCTGTTTGTTGCAGCCTGTGCATCAGTGTAGGAGGGTTGGGGTGAGGGTGGGGTGCTGGGGGAGGGTGCACACCCACCAAAGGCAGCCAAGACTGTTCTTGCTGTCATCCATTCATCTTGTCATTAAAAATGCTGATGGGTCTCCTGCTCAATTTTCAGCCTCTGCAGGACCTAGATTTTAAACCATCCATCCCTAAGGAGGATGCGTGAAGAGTCACAAATACTTGGCATTTTCAGAACCTTTAAGGAAATATAATCTTTGAATGACACCGATTTCTGGGTTCATTGTATTACCAAGAACAGCCAAGAGACATTTATTGACCTACTGTTTTTTTCTTTGAATCCCCCCTTATGGTGATAAAATGTTAGCTTCTTTCTTAAGAGGAGAACATCTAAAAATCTAGGAAATTCTTTTGACTGCTGATGAAACATCCAGTGGTCTGAAATCTCTCTGGCAGCCACATTCCTGCAGACCATCCCCCGGTCTCCTCGAAAAGAGGCAGCTCCAAGCATCCGTCTTCATTGGAAGAGGCTGAAAGGCCTCCTTTCTTCATGGATCTTGGTTGATTTTTTTCTTTTCCTATTCCCTAGCTAGATTAGAACTGGGGTACTGCCCTATTTCCTACTTCATCTGAAAAATAAGGGACTTTGGCTGCCACCTAAAATGCTGGCGTAGCTGGCATCAGAAGCAGAGCCAGGAAGGATGCCGCCCACAGTCACTCCGGGCCGGCTCACCTTCCTCCTCCCCTGCCCTTGCCCCCACCAGGAGATTGCCCGGAGCTCCATCCAGATCACAGGGGCCCTGGAGGACCAGATGAACCAGCTGAAGCAGTACGAGCACAACATCATTAACTACAAGAACAACATCGACAAGCTGGAAGGCGACCATCAGCTCATCCAGGAGGCCCTGGTCTTTGACAACAAGCACACTAATTATACCATGGAGGTACACCTGCCGCAGGGCCTGCGGTGCCCTGGCGTCTGCCCGTGGCCGTGTCACCTGGTCGGGGGTTTCTGCCCACCTTTGTCTCTGTCTGTTCCTGTTTGTTCTACACGTATGACAGTGGGGGATCATTAAGCCTTTACTGTCGCTCTATGTGAAACAGTTTTGTGAACTGGATCAAGCACTGTGTGGGGGTGATCAGTCGCTCAGTCGTGTCCAACTCTTTGCAGCCCCATGGACTATAGCCTGTCGTGCTCCTCTGTCCATGGGATTTCCAAGTCAAGAATACTGGAGTGGGTTGCTGTTTCCTCCTCCATGGGATCTTCCTGACCCAGAGACTGAACTCACGTCTCTTGCATCTCCTACATTGGCAGGTGGATTCTTTCCCACTAGCGCCACCTGAGCAGCTCAGATCAAGTGCTATATAGTTATTATTTATCAACATCATCCCCAACTTTGTCATCATTATCATCACAACAGTGAATTCACTGCGCTGCTTTGGAGAGACTCTCAGGAATGGGACTGTTCCATTTCTACCAGTTTGGTCCAGTTTGATCTTTCGGGAGCCAGTGGGTATAATCCAGGGCCCATCCTGCTGCCTGGTTAGTGACAGAAAGACTGTACACTGTACATTTTATTCTACAAAGCGCTAGTTGTCACTGTTAGAGCCCTGCTCCTCACTTCTGAGTATTTCCCACTACAGAATCTTGAAAAAGAGTGGAAAAGTAGAATTTTTTTAAAAAGCATATAGAAGTCCTACTTGCCTCCCTTTGGATTGACTCTCCTGTTATGAAAATGAGCAGGTGAGACTGACCTGCTGGGAGAATCTGGAGCTGATCATTTTCTGTTTTCCTTGGTAGCACATCCGTGTGGGCTGGGAGCTGCTGCTGACGACTATCGCCAGAACCATCAATGAGGTGGAGACCCAGATCCTGACGAGAGATGCGAAGGGCATCACCCAGGAGCAGATGAATGAGTTCAGAGCCTCCTTCAACCACTTTGACAGGGTACCTCACTCCTAGTTATTTGAAAGGCAGCGCTGCGGACATCAAAAGACGTATTTGAAATAGTACTCATGCTATTATTTTTAAGTTGCCGTGTCCTTAAAATTTACTGAGAAACAGGATGATTCAGGCCAGAGGAAAAGAGCCACTGAAATGAAGTGTGCTAAGTTCTGATGTTGCTCAAGGTGACATCAGACAAAGTCTAGGTTTGTGGGCCCTTTTATACGGATCACTTAACAAATGCCTTTGTAGTTGGGAGCAAAGCAAGATTTATTCTAAGTGAAAGTGTATCCTTAACAGAATATAGTTGAAGGATTTAGGTAATTTTCTAAGCACTTAAATACAAAGCTCTAATGTACTTTTCCTAATTAACTATTTAGGTGAAGCACCTGATGAAAATTAGCCTACTCTTTTGCCATAAAACTTAATTTTCTTTTTTAATGAACAAAATCAGCTCATGAAATTTTATAAGGAAAATGTATCAACAAAATGATGATGATATAAAAAGTTTAGTGCTACTCTTAAAATATTATCTAATATTTTTATTTAAATATAGTTGGGTAAAACCAGTTCTTCACAAGAAAATGCCCAGTTTGCTTCATTTAGTTAATAGTGACTCCTAAGGCCACATTCCATTTGTTAAAAGATCCCTAACAAAGTATATTTCATTCTTTTGCTCAGGACCCTGTGTATGATTTACAAATATTAGTCCTATGGTTCTTAAAATGCCTATGGACTAGGCCCAGCCATATTCAGGCCTATTAATGAGTTCAGAAAGTAGACTTCTGATCAGGGAGCTGAGGCATAAGTAAAGTATTATATACAGAGATGGATACTAAAGTTATTTTGGCTTCAGCACAGCTGTACTATCTATGCTATAACACTGACCTGACTTCCTTCAGGTTGGGTCATTTTCCTCCCATGGAGGGAAATAATTGACTGTTGTTCCTGCACCCATCACCTGGGCTTGTAGGAGGACAGCTCCGCTTGTTTGGGCTGCTTCAGAGAGGGAAAATCCACATCTGTTTCAATCCAGAGTAACGAGATTGTCTTTTGCAACAAAAGTCCAAAGGGGGACAATGCAGAACCTGCCAAGTTTAAAAGTTTAAGTAAAGCAACTATAGTCCAATAAAAATTAATTAAAAAACAGAAAACCCAGCTTCCCAGTCTCAGTGAACAATTTACATTCATCTAACAAGAACTCCTTTCATACCAGCTTTCCCTTCCCGCCCCCAGTAAACAAATTAATAGAAGTTTAAGTTAAGGATTCTGTGTCTTGGAGGGACTTGGACCTGAGAGTGGCTGCAGGGTAATGCAGCATGAATCCTAGCCCTGCTGTCATCTTTGGGGGGATTTTACAAGCGAGGTCTGCCTGGGGTCTTAAGAGTGTGAGGCTTTCTCAGAACACTTACATTGTGTTTGGTCATCGATGGGTGGCAGTGGACAGCTTCTGACGTGGTCATTTTCAGTGGCACTGGGTATTCCTCCTGCTTTCTTGACTGTGTGGTCTCCATTTCCAAATGCTGTTTACCCTCCTTCCCTACTTTTTCCTTTTTAAGAAATTATTTTGTGATGTAATGTCCCTATGTTGAGCCTGTCCTTTCTGGAAATCAGACCTTTAAAAATTCTTTGGCAGATGTCACAATGTCCCTTCTCTTGCTGGATTTTGTTCCCTGGTCAAGTCGAGTTATTTATTTTGCTTCTAACACTCAACTTCTTTCTTCTTTCTTTTTGTTGGAAGAGGAAGAATGGTCTAATGGATCATGAGGATTTCAGAGCCTGCCTGATCTCCATGGGTTATGACTTGGTAAGACAGAAGTTGAAATTTTATTACTATGATGTTCTACTGAGCTTATTTAGGTTTGTATTTTAGAAGACAGCTGCCTTAAACTATGGCAGCCCACTTGGGTGGGATTGTTTCATTTACCAAGGTAACATTGAAGGTTTGCCTGGTACCATATGAAAATAACTTTCCGGAGTCAGAACATACATTTTCATTCAGTCATTGGTCAGCTGGTTTTTTTCTTGTGAAGGAAGATAACATAAACTTTCCTGATGGTTTTTAAACAGCATTATTTGAGAGATAATTTACATACCATACAATTTGCCCATTGAAAGTAGATACTTCAATGGCTTTTCCTGGTGATTTTTAAAGTGCTTTTTCCTCTAGTATTTTAGAAGGTAAAAAGTTTTTAGTGGGCGTCCCTGGTAGCTCAGTGGTAAAGAATCCCCCTGCCAGTGCCAGAGACACGGGGTTGATCCTTGATCCGGGAAGATCCCATGTGCCTTGGAGCAACTGAGCTCATGCACCACAACTACTGAGCCTGTGCTCTGGAGCCTGGGAACTACGACTCCCGAGCCCCCGCGCTCAGGAGGGGGCTAGAGTCCTAGAGCCGTGAGTCCTAGAGCCCGTGCTCCAAACGGGAGAAGCCACCACCACGAGCAGCCCTTGTGCAACTAGAGAGTAGCCCCCACTCTTGGCAACTAGAGCAAAGCCCACGCAGCAGTGAAGGCCTAGCACAGCCCCAAAATTAATAAATTAATTATTTTTTAAAAAGTTTACAATCAGCTAAGAAATCTTACATTTCCCTGTGGGTTGTGAGTACCTGTATTAACCTCAGTTCTCTGTTACCTGTTAACACATTACTGACCAAAGACATACTAATGTCTTTTGTTACCTGAACATTATTGACTGGAGATGTGAGAGTGATAATAATTTAATCATCATGCGAAGCTGTTAGAGCTTAAAGTTGATCAAGGGTTCATTATGCAAGACTTAACGATTGTTGTTGTCATTCATATTTTGCCCCATTAGCTTCTTTTCCCAACTTGTGTATATTATAAACACAAGCTTATTACCAATTTTCAAAAATGATGCATAGCGAAATTTTGAGTGAAGAATTTTTCAATGCATTTTATGCAAATTCTTTCTGATTGTCCAAGTGACATATATACTTTAGTGTCTCATAATATGATAGTTCTTCCAAATATAGTTCTGATTCAGACGATGTGAAAATTAGACCAACAAAATGACAAAATATCTTAGTGATTGATTCTGATACGGAAAGTGAAAGTGAAACTCACTGTGCTGGAGAGAATTTATAGGTGTAATTATTGAATGTAATAACCTGCAAAGTGTTAGTGAAGTAACAGTATTAATTTTGGTCAGTCAAAGCAAAAATCACTGTCCCACAGGCATTAGTTTCTGCGAAAATCCCCCAGTCAATAATGACTTAATATGTAATGTTGAACATGAATTACTTTGATGCTTCTCCCCTTTGAAATAAGCACTGTGAGAGCCCGCCTCTAACCTGCCTTCTCTTGGGCAGTATTATTCTTCTCAATTATAGCCTGAGAAAAGGCCTCAGTCTCTGAATTCTTCCATAATTATGTTAAGTCCCAAGGCAACAGGGCTTCCTTGGTGGCTCAGCAGTAAAGAATCTGCCTGCCAGTGGAGGAGATGGGAAATGTGGGTTTGATGCCTTGGTCAGGAAGATCCCCTGGAGAAGAATATGGTAACCCGCTCCAATATTCTTGCCTGGGGAATCCTATAGTCAGAGGAGCCTGGTGGGCTGCAGTCCATGGGGTCACCAAAAGAGTCAGACATGACTTACAACTGAACAACAACCCAGGGCAACACGGATCAGAGAGAAAGGAATTCTGACATCAGGAGCTTCTGGGCTGGTGCTGTAGCTACACTTCAAAACCCTTCAATGGCAGCAAACTTAAGTCGCCCATCAGGGGAATCTGTTCCCAAAGTGGAAGGGAAGTGCAGGGGATGTTTAAGCTTTCAAGCAAAAAGGAACTTGCATGCCAACAGGTAAGGGCGGGAGAGCAGCACAGTTAGGAGTTGTGCACTGTGGGAGTCAGTGTCTCCTTGCAACCTTGCCGCAGGGTGAAGCTGAGTTTGCCCGCATCATGACCCTGGTGGATCCCAACGGGCAGGGCACTGTCACCTTCCAGTCCTTCATCGACTTCATGACCAGAGAGACGGCTGACACCGACACTGCCGAGCAGGTCATCGCGTCCTTCCGGATCCTGGCTTCCGACAAGGTCTGCATCAGCACATTTTCTTCTGCCTATCTGACAGTTTACTGCTTTATTCCAATAAGAATGGAAACAGTGTTGCAAATAATAATGATTTTGATACTACTGCATTTTATACCACATCTGCACTGAATTCAGAAAGCACTTACGCAGAACAGTGGTGTACTCAGAACAGATTAAACACAGACATTCTGTCCTGGCATTTGTGCTTGGTCCTTACGGGGAGTTTTACAGAAGGAACCAACAGTATGAATTTTGCAGGTTTTTTGTGTGTGTGTTTTTCTGGTTCAACCCTATTTTACATTCTGGATTGGTAGATAAGATTTCTGAAAGATGAAGCAGTGCAGTCCAGATGTTAGAAAACCAAGAACCTTCTCTCAAGGATCAATGACACTGCCCAGCCCTTGGAGCAGAGTTAAATAGAGCCATTCATTCTTTGTAAAAATTGGCAAGTTTTTCATTACATGTAACCTAGAAATTAAGTAGGAGTTTAATCGCAAGTTTAGAATTTTCAAATCTCCCAAAACAATATTAAAACATTTCAGTATGTATAAATTCAATTTGGGATATGATTCCTTTGCCTTGTGTTCTAGCCGAAAGAGAAAGGAAGTTAGGATTCTAAAACACATCAGCTTGGCCATGTTTATTACCTTAAAAAAATCTTATCTGACAACATAAACTATCTTTAAAATAATTATGTTTGTTTTAAAATGAATCCTTTATCATGTGGATAGGGGTTGAGGGGAGAAAGTCCAACTGATGTAGGAGATAATAAACTGATGTAGGAGAAATTAATAAAATAATAAATGTAGGGGATGGGGGTTATCTAACACCCCCAAAACCATACTATATATTACAATATATTTGCTCTTTATTTATCTTCACCTATCAGTCTCTTTTATGAGAATTATCTGATTTTCTCTTGGACATTTGACATTAAAAACAAAAACAAAAGACTCTGTTGTTCAATGTCAGTTTAGTTTTGCTTTAGAAGGAGTTTTTCAACAGTGGCAACATGCCTCTAGTTTTTTAATAAATTGCGTAGGAAAGCAAGCACATATCACATGTATTTTTTAAAAACCACATTGATCATTTTAAATTAAATATTCCTATATTTTCATCAGTGTATGGTATAAGCCAACCTCCCCTTTATCTTTCTGTATGAAATTTACATCGTAGTATTCTTCACTAACATTATGGCTCAGTTTGAGAAGTGTTGATGGTATTGCTGTCTTTGCCTCTATGAAGCATATTAAATTTCCCACTGGCCAGAAGACAAGTTACAAGTAAAACTAAGCCTTTGGTTGGCTTCGGGTACTATGCCCCTTAGACTCCCTACCTTTAATCTTTTATTTTTTTAATCTTTATATTAGAATATAGTTGATTAACAATGTCATGTTAATTTCAGGTGTATAGCAGAGTGATTCAGTTAACCCTTTTTTTAACAATTAAACAAATGCAAGAAGTATGTCAGAATTTAAACCATTTAAGTTCCAGTGTGTCTTGCCATTGATTTTTCAAACATGTGTGTATTGTTTTCCAGCCATACATCTTGGCGGAGGAGCTGCGTCGGGAGCTGCCCCCAGATCAGGCCCAGTACTGCATCAAGAGGATGCCTGCCTACTCAGGCCCAGGCAGCGTGCCCGGAGCCCTGGATTACACGGCCTTCTCCTCCGCACTCTATGGGGAGAGCGATCTGTGAGGCTGGGGTTTTGTAGTCGCTGATCAGAACGCAATAAAAGCTGAAGTCACAGTTTGTTTCTTGGAAACTTTGACAAACTTTATTACGTTATAGAGGGAGAACACTTTTTTCTCAGCTCAGTTATTGCCAGCAATGTAATATGGCTGAAGTTAAGTTTTTCCAGTAGATGACATAGCATACTTTATAAGTAGGTTTCTTTACTTCTGAGTTTTTAGCTAAATGCAATGGAACATCAGGGGTTCTGCTGGTTTCTTTGATAAAACACAGCCAATCCTTGGGTAGTGTGAAATTAGGAAGACCTAAGGATAGAAGGAACATACAAAATGGGAAAATTTTGAAATATCCAAGATTCAAGACCAGAAAAATAATAGTAAATGTTTGACATTTAAAAAAAAATATTCTTCATATATATAATATGTTTATATGGTTATCTCTTGGGGAATATATTTGGGATACTGCTGTTTTACTTTCTGGCTTATCCAAAGATTAACTATATTTAAGATAAATGGTAACTGTCACCTTGTTAGCTGAATTGAATATTGTGAACTTCCAGAGAATAGAAACAGACACCCCAAAAGACTTTTAGCACTTAAAACATTTTAGGTAGAAATCATAGTCAGCTCTTCGTTATTTAGGACGACATAGTCCAGTTAGTGGATTGCATTGCCTTACTCATACTGCAAAGCAGGAACCTCGCCATGGAAGTTAGTTTCACTGCCAGGGAGGAAGATGGAATCACTAGGTAAATGTGTTTGGGGAGGATTATTTATTGATTCCAGGTTCCTGTGCTTTTTTAGAGCTTGTTAGTACGTTAGAGTCTCACTAGATGACCATATAGACGTGCTCTGTTTTTAAACAAACAGGTATCAATAGCAGTAGTTGGGGGACAAGTCAAGAGCTGCTATTTTTATAGCTCTCCAGGCAGAATTTCTCCTTTTTTGCCTTTTAGTGTTATTATCTGGTAAAGAGAAGGTTAGAGGGAAGAGCTGGTAGGAAAGGACTAATTCTCACCAACAGTAGAGGTAAGTTCTTTAACTGCAGAACCTTTACATACTTCAGGTGAATGCATTCTGTGTAGAGGAGTTCTTGATGTTTCTGCCAGCTCTTGGTGAGTGTCCCGCTGTGACTGGATGGGGCACTGCCATACATGCTTCCACGTCTATGTGGCAGCCCCCTGCAGAGGACACCAGTGGCTCCTGCCATCCCTGTCTGTCAGCTTTCATTCATTCTTCTGCTCGTGCTGCTCTATGCTTACTCCCCTGTTTTTCCATCTAGCTGACAGCTTGTAAAGAATAAAGAAGGAATTCTTTTTATATCTGAATCCTTAATGATCAGATGAACTAGAAACAAACAAAAACCGTTGTAAACAGCAGTTGAAGTGTTACTAGAAAAACAGTCATGTGCCTGTTAACCTATAGTCTTTTTATTCAGATTTTTGTAGATTTCCACCAGTAGCTGGAAATGGGATATTTTCCATTCATGACTGTCCCATAACTTAATATTTTTACACAGTTGGCCCACTTAGAACCTTCAGCCTTTGTAAGTTTCATTTAATTTGCTTCATTTTATTAAGTAGCTGATAGTTTACAAATTTCTGAAATCTGAGTCCTTGAGTTCAATGCCAGACACTTTTGGGGTGGTGTTTCGGTGAACTGTGACTCCTTATTCTACTTCATGCAGGTGCTATATTCCAGCTGTATAGGGAGAAAAATGGGAAGATACTCTGCCTTTGAGGCTACTAGCGGGAATCTGTGGTGTTTTACAATTGGAATGGGTAGTTCATCTTCCTAAAATTTTAGTTTCTTTACAACATTCAAGCAAGAGAATGGATCAACACTATCTGCTAACAAATGAAAAAGGGAAATAAACTCTGAAACACTTAATAAACATGTTTATACTCTCATTTTAGAAGTTATTTTTATTTCTGAAGCTGAATTGATTAAACTTAATTTGTAAAAGAAAAGGAATCCCTGTTTTATTATTATTATCATTTCAACTAATAACCAGTTTCTTTGGTTAACCACAAGCTTTCCTCACTTAAAATTTCCATCATCACTTAAAACTCTCATTTGGTTTAGCATTTGTCTTGTTTAAAGAACTAGAGACTGGCTTGTTGGGTAGAGGGTAAATTTGAGATGAGGAATTAAGGTTGGCTCAGTTAGAGGTGAGTGATGAATGGACTGGGGAACGAAATGGATTAGGAAGAAATTTTTACCCCAGATATCATTTCAGAATCCCCAGTAGGTATTTTGAAAATGTATGGCACCTCCATACTTCTAGTTGTGAAGGTCTGGGTTAAGACTGGGACATCTGCATTTTTTGAAAGCTCCATGGATGATTCTACTAACCCTCAGTTGAAAACCACTGGATTAGAGGTAATGGAAAGGGTTATTAGTAATCAGGAAGTGTAAAACAGATAGAGAAGCTCTTACTAGAATGGTTAATAGTTGAACCACATGAATGTGTCCAGGCCAACCCCTGTACCATCTGGTTGATGATATACAAATATTGGCAATGGCTAAATTTCAGATGGGTACACTCGGCTTCATGTTCTTTTCTGCTGCGTACCTGATTGATACATATTCATGAAATAAGCTGGAGATGAGCTTATTACAGCCTTTAAGTGAAAAGAAGCAAATCAAAATGATATCAAGTCAGAAACTTGTAATTCTTTTTTAATTAATTTTAATTGGAGGATAGTTGATTTTTAATGTTGTATTAATTTCAGGTATACAACAAAGTGGATCAGTCATACATACACATATATTCACTCTTTTTAAGATTCTTGGGTCATTGCCGAGCACTTGAGTGGAATTCTCTATGCTCTGTAGTCAGTCATTATTAGTTACCTGCTTTATATATAGCAGTCTGTGTATGTTAATCCCCATCTCCTAGTTTATTCCTCCCTGTCTTGGTATTTTAAGAAGTAGCTAATTGTTACCAAGCTGACAAAGACTCACCCACAGTTGCCCCGGGTTATTTGACAAGAAGGCACTGAGTGTGTTCAGCCGTGTCTGTGAACTTTCTCAGATACCCAGGAGCCTGTGTAGAGCATTAACTGCCCTGTGTGCGACCTTCTCATATTTCAGATGGAATCAGCAGAGAAGGAGACAAGCTTTTTTTTCCCCTTTTGGATTCACTAATTAATAACTCAGTACTTAGTGTGTTAGTCACTCAGTCGTGTCCAACTCTTTGTGACCCCATGGACTGTAGCCCGCTAGGATCCTCTGTCCATGGAATTCTCCAGGCAAGAATACTGGGGTGGGTAGCCATTCTCTTCTCCAGGAGATGTTCCCAACCTGCGGATGGATCCCAGGTCTCCTGCATTGTAGTCAGATTCTTCACCATCTGAGTCATCAAGCGGCTGACAAATCATCATTCTTTTTAAGCTGGGAGCTGGAGAGGGTTGTGATCCATCAATGGGAATCCATAACCAAGGATTCCCCAGGACCTTAAACTTTTTGAAGTAATCTCCAAAGCACTGCAAACTTCCGTGTTGATAAAACAAATGGGCAGAAGTGATGGCAAATTGGAGTATCAGTAAGAAATAAATGGCTTTTTTGGCTCATGTATTTAAACATTAGGAATTCTTTTCAACTACTTTCAATAATAATACTTAGAACAAAGAAACAATCCAACTGAAAAATGGGCAGAAGACCTAAGCAGACACTTCTTCAGTGAAGACATGCAGATGGCCAACAGGCACATGAAAAAATATTCAACTTTGTTAATTATTAAGAAGTGCACATCAAAACTACAATGAGGTACCACCTTAACACTGGTCAAAAAGGCTATCATTTAAAAGTCTACAGATAACAAATGCTGGAGAGACTGTGGAGAAAAGGGAATGCTCTTACACTGTTAGTGAGGATGTCAACTGGTACAGCCACTATGGAAAACAGTATAAAGGTTAGTCAAAACAAAACAAAACAAAACAGTGGCCATAAGATCTTGCAATTTCACTCCTCAACATATATCCAGAAAAAATAATTGGAAAAGACACATGCACCCCAATGTTCACTGTAGCACTACTCACAACCATTCACAACGCCAAGGCATGGAAATAACCTAAATGTCTATCGACGAATAAAGAAGATTAGTATACATACACAATAGAATACTACTCAGCCATAAAAAAGAATGAAATAATACCATTTGAGGCAACATGGATGGACCTAGAGATTATCATCCTAAATGAAGTAAGTTAGAAAGAGAAAAACAAATACCATATGATATCATTTATATGTGGAATCTAAAATACAACACAAAGAACTTGCCTATGAAACAAACTCACGGAACAGATTTGTGCTTGTCATGGGGGGAGGGAAGGACTGGGAGTTTGGGATTAGGAGACACAAGCTATTACACATAGAATGAATAAACAACAAGGTCTACTGTATAGCACAGGAACTATAGTCAACATCCTGTGATAAATGATAATGGAAAAGAATATGAGGGAGAATGTGTATACATGTATAACAATCACTTTACAGTAGAAACTAACAGAACCTTATAAATCATTACAATAAAGAATAATCCTTAGAATGATTTCACTTTAGTTGCTAAGTTCTGTCCAACTCTTGTGACCCCATGGACTGTAACCCACCAGACTCCTCTGTCCATGAAATTTTTCAGGCAAGCATATTGGAGTGGGTAGCCATTTCCTTCTCCAGGGGATCTTCCCAACCCAGGGATAGAACCCGGACTCTTTACCACTGAGCCACCAGGGAAGCCCTTAGAATGAGTTAGCCAATTAGAAAAGCACCTCTGAATAACTAAGGCAGCACAAACTGGTAACAAGAATGCTTTCTGAGACAACCACAATTGTCAAGTTTCACTAGATAAAAGTTGTGGAATTGTTTACATGATTTCTTTTAGATTTAATGTGTATTATATGAGAAAACATTTAAAACATATTTATCCAAGCATATAAAATATTCCCATTACAATCTTTGACTGACTTCATCTTATAAAATATTTAATATGTACTATTTCATGTTAGCTAAAACATATAATTTATGCTAGATACCAGACCAATTAATTTTTGATAGTTTATATTTTACTGTT